AGGTCAAATAATGTCATATTTGCATTAAAAATGACATAACTGAGCGAATGACACTTAATGACAGTTGTCATAAACATGCATAAAACCTCCTTCATATTCATGACATGTGTCATGTCATGATTATGAAGGTGTCATGTCAGTCTTATACACACCCCTTCAAGTAAAGTGTTACCAATATCAGTTTTTCAAGATATTGTATCAAAGTTAGAAATTCCATTGATAACATGAATCATGCTTAAAGGGTTTAAAAGCACAAATGTGAATGTGAAAGGGGAAAGGGGAAAATGTTTTAATTTAATCTAGTTGTAACATGTATTAGGTTATGTTTTCGCATGAAAACGATTTCTTTTATTACAACTTCGCTCTGTTTTCAGTGTCTCTGCAGGTCACCGTTGAGGGTGTCATTGGAGGTTCTGTTGTTTTACCTTGTTCTGCTAGAGAACCTCAGCTTACAACTGAAGACATTACAGTGAATTGGAGATATTGTGACAGATTGATTGTGTATGAAATTATTAAGGGTAAAGTCTCTGTGGAAGGTGTAAGAATCTATAGTCTGCCCTGACCCAGATTCCACTCCACAATATGTTTAATCATGCTCATTTCCCAAAATGGCTTAATTATTATAGATAAGAAGAAAGTCAACAGTTATGTTGTTTGTAGATCACTTGGGATGTTCACATCCTGAGCAAATGGTGACCAATTGTAGAATGGCAGCAGGTGTGGGACACTGAGAACCACCTCAGACAAAAGGGGTGTCAGAACTTAATTAACATACAGACCACAGCTGTAACAACAGGAGCAACTTCCTTTACATTGAGGGTCAGTCTTATACACACCCCTTCAAGTAAAGTGTTACCAATATCAGTTTTTCAAGATATTGTATCAAAGTTAGAAATTCCATTGATAACATGAATCATGCTTAAAGGGTTTAAAAGCACAAATGTGAATGTGAAAGGGGAAAGGGGAAAATGTTTTAATTTAATCTAGTTGTAACATGTATTAGGTTATGTTTTCGCATGAAAACGATTTCTTTTATTACAACTTCGCTCTGTTTTCAGTGTCTCTGCAGGTCACCGTTGAGGGTGTCATTGGAGGTTCTGTTGTTTTACCTTGTTCTGCTAGAGAACCTCAGCTTACAACTGAAGACATTACAGTGAATTGGAGATATTGTGACAGATTGATTGTGTATGAAATTATTAAGGGTAAAGTCTCTGTGGAAGGTGTAAGAATCTATAGTCTGCCCTGACCCAGATTCCACTCCACAATATGTTTAATCATGCTCATTTCCCAAAATGGCTTAATTATTATAGATAAGAAGAAAGTCAACAGTTATGTTGTTTGTAGATCACTTGGGATGTTCACATCCTGAGCAAATGGTGACCAATTGTAGAATAGCAGGTGTGGGACACTGAGAACCACCTCAGACAAAAGGGGTGTCAGAACTTAATTAACATACAGACCACAGCTGTAACAACAGGAGCAACTTCCTTTACATTGAGGGTAAACTCTAAGTGTATAAAATGTTTGAGCTTAGGATGTTCGGGGTTAAGTCTGACTCCGTTGAACCCAAGGTATTACATGTACTTTGTCACTACTATTCTGTAATAAAAGTCATTCTTCATCAAGATCTTCGACGTCTTCACTTTTTCTTACATAAGGACAGGACCCAAAGTCAGGGGCGGATTTAGTGAATTGCACACATACATTTGCACACATTTTCCTAGATCAACCTTGAGGTTCCATTTTGTTGTTTTCAGCGTAAGCCTGTGTGCTGTCTAATTCTAAACTTTAAAATACATTTATTTTTAGTTGTTTTAACTACAAATGTAAATAAAACTGAACAAATAATGAAAAGGCAATTATACATTTACACACCTAAAATACATATATCAAGAGCATGCTCACAGATGAGAACAAAACAGCGTTGGATGAAGTGGATTAAGCCCGTCTTTTTTCCCCTTTTCCCAAAAAAACTTATACTACTGTTTCAGCTATTCAAATAGTTCCGTTTTGTATGTAATGGTAAAGTGATTATATTTCGTTTCGTTTTTTTATAAAGTAAATTTAGAAAAATATTTTGAGTATTTTTTGTTCGTTAAATGTAAGTTTTTTGTTTTTTTAAGTAAAGGCCAGCAGCAGACAGTGAATTGATAGCCTATGTTTGATCAATTTAGCCTTCTCAAATCATCAGGACTTGCCTAAAATAAAATCTATATATAAAACAGTTCAAGCATATCATAATGTTAGTTTAATGTGTAACCTAAATGTGCGCTGTTAGACGCATATCCAATTTATAAAATAAAGAAAACAAACGCTTTCTGCCGTCTCGGTCTTGAACAGGAGCGCTTCACAATGATGAACCTAAACTCAGACATGATCAAAATATATAGAAAGCTTTAAATTGCTACTTTAAAACGAAATAATTCAAATCGAAAATAGACTCCTAATAAAATAAACTCTTTCATTATGTAATTCATGCATTTCTCTCTAAAGGCACATCCATTTAGGAGATGGCGAGTCATATTTTCATCATGGGTTCAGTCGACAGAAATACGGGACACACAGGCCTATAATAACTGCTGAAATGTTTGCAGGGCAAAATGTCAGATCAGTCTGAGTGCTCATGGTACTCACAGTGCGTACAGCCGTACACCTGCAGGCACCACAGACTCGGACGGTTGTCGTGTAAATAAACACCGTAAACAGCAACCGTTCGCGTGTCCGCGCTTAATGCGCATATCCATTTAGGGGGCCCTTGGCTTTTGGGGGCCCAAGGCGGTCGCCTACCTTTGCCTAATGGGTAAGTCCGCCCCTGCCCAAAGTACAAGAACAGAACTGAAAGCTTCCCTGAGAAGTATCTGAGAGGAAACTTCTCACTCAAACTCGATGATCTTCAACACAGTGACGCAGGAAAGTATCAGTGCTACATTATAGATGAATCAACAATTGAAACTGTGGAGCTACGTATCAAAGGTTTGTAAAAAAATAATAATTATAAAAAGTAATTAATTAAACCACAAGTTCTTGAAAATCTCATGTTGGTTTCATAATATGAAAATCTTTTATTATTACAAATACTGTATTTGTATATAAATATCATACATTTTTAATTTATAGATATTTAGTTTTAGAGAGTTGCAGCACATGAGATTTTACAAGCTGATTCTGAACAAATGTTGTCTTGTTATAAAATGCTTAAATTATCACATCTTTTCAGGTAATTCAGATAACACTACACACTATAGAAAACTGCTACTAATTTGGTTATTAGTACTGAGAAGAGCCTGATCAGTTTGAAATCAAGTGGGAACAGAAAATTAGATTTTAGAAAGTGAATTTGTTTGGTCACATGATGGATTGTTACTTCAACAATCACCTTTATTTTTCCTGTTTGTCTTTGTTATGCACATCTTTATTAAAGTCAATGTCTCTGATTGAGCGTAAACTAGCGTTTAGATGCTATCCAATCAACAATCATCCATGAAGCAATGTCATGTTTCTTGCATGAAAAACAGTATATTTTATTGTTCTCTCTGTTTTCAGTGCCTCTGCAGGTCTTGATTGTAGGTTATGTTGGAGATTCTGTGGTTTTACCTTGTTCTTCTGAGCTAAACACTGCTGAAGGCATTACAGTGAACTGGAGACACAATGACAGTCTGAAAGTCTATGACATTATTAAGGGTAAGATTTCTGTGGAAGAGCAGGATTCAGCAAATGAGAACCGAACTGAAAGCTTTCCTCAGGCGTATAAGACTGGAAACTTCTCCCTCAAACTCAACAAACTTCAGTACAATGATCAGAATCAGAATGAGCTTTATTGCCAGGTATGTTTACACATACGAGGAATTTGTTTTCGTGACAGAAGCTACATGTATCAGTTTCCATGATACAGGAAACTACATATGCCACATCACCAATGAATTACTCATTTACAGCATGGAGCTACTCGTCAAAGGTTAGTGGAAAAAAAGGTTGATTCATTTTAACAATTTAAAAATTATAATATTTTTTATTTGTTTTTCTCAACTTAATGAAATTGTCTATTTTGTTCACTAGATGAAAAAGACCATGGAACACAATCAAGAACAGAGAAGATTTTGGCTTTGCTTTCTGTTTTCATTCTGCTCTGTATTTAAGTATATTGACCGGAGAAGCATTACATTTCACAATAAAATACTAAATAACGAAATAAACACCCTACTCAAAAGCAAAACAATAGGCCTATATAAAAGAAAGTAAACTGCCATGTGCACTTTGTAACATAAATTACTCTAAATGAGTCCAAAGAACACAACTAAACAAAATGAATAATAAAATGCCCAAAATGAAATACAGCCTACACTCTTAAAAATAAAGGTGCTTCACGATCCCATAAAAGAACCTTTTTGTCTAAATGGTTCCATAAAGAACCTTTAACATCTGAAGAACCTTTCTGTTTCACAAAAGGTTCTTTGTGGCGAAAGAAGCTTCTTCAAATTGCAAAAAGATAAGCAAGAGATGGTTCTTTAAAGAACCTTTGACTGAATGGTTCTTTGTGGAACCAAAAATGGTTCTTCTATGGCATCGCTTGAAGAACCTTTTGAAGCACCTTTATTTTTAAGAGTGTAACATTACAAACAAATTCCTCTCTACAGAAATGTCCACAATACGGACTATAAATTATGTCTGACCAATGTCTAACATGATTACAATGCAACACTCAAAGGAGAGAAAAGGAGATGTGTAAAATATTGTCTTAATAGGATTTAAATTACTAATCATTTCAAACTATAGTTATCTATAAATGCGATGATTTTTTTCAAAAACAGCTAAAGAGAATTACATACCGAGCTGCCAGAAGAATCTGTTCCTACTTGTCAGATCATGCGCACAAACCACCTGTAGGGAAGATGATATCCCCACAGGTTTCACTTCCTCATTTTTCTACTGTAGGCCTATAGACCCTCCCTAACAACGGTAAGGGGCTGTTTACATTCCATATCAGTCGAGTGACTTTAGACGTGACAGAGGAAAGATATATTAGGGTGAACCTAACACACATTCAAAAAGAAAGGAATATTATAATCAGTTCTTATTGAAATAGAACAAAATACCACAATGTTTATTTGTTAACTGTCTTTATACATTATATTATTATTATTTAAAAAAAAAAATATATATATATATCAAACCGAGCAGAATTTAAAGTACAAGAACAGTGATCAGTGTCGCCTTTAATTGTCAATGTGGGCCAATGCTGTCCTCTGGTGGTCGCCAACATGCATTATGGTAAAAGACCCTCCCGACCCACGTGATATTCACTGGCATTGACACTGTTTAATTACTGGAAATTACTTATTTCTGTCATAAAACAGTTTCTTTGATTTGATTATGATTGTCCATCTCAAACATTTTGACATAGGCGAGCAATGTTAGACCACTGAATCAGACCATCCTAATAAATGACCTTTTTTTGTCACACTAATAACCAGTGTTAAGGGAAACGCATTACAACTACCAATACGAGTTACGTATTCAGATAGTGTTTTTTTTTCTTCAAGTAACTAGTAATTACTTTTTAATACAAGAAAATATCTGAGTTACTTTTTCAAATAAGTAACGACAGTTATAATTGAAAATACCCTTTCACAGACAAGGCTTATTAAGGATAGTTCCAGATTAAAATGCATGTTTGAGCTGTCTCAGCTGAAAATACCTTGCTCTGACATATCTTAAAATATATAAGTGTTCTGTCTCAAGATGCACACCTGTACGCTCTCATCTAAGGCATTTGCATAAAAGCTGCTAAAAAAATCTTAATTTAACTAAAACCTAGTCCTGGCTTAAGCTAAACCCGGTCTGTGAAAGCGGGCCAGTATGTAGGCTATAATTTAGGGATGTCCCGACTCCTGATCAGGTTTTTGGTGCCCCCGATTTGAGTCATTGAATATTGAGTATTGCCGTTACTGAGTCTTGATACGATACTCATACAGGTGCATCTCAATAAATTAGAATGTCGTGGAAAAGTTCATTTATTTCAGTAATTCAGCTAAAATTGTGAAACTTGTGTATTAAATAAATTCAATGCACACAGACTCAAGTAGTTTAAGTCTTTGGTTCTTTTAATTGTGATGATTTTGGCTCACATTTAACAAAAACCCACCAATTCACTATCTCAACAAATTAGAATATGGTGACATGCCAATCAGCTAATCAACTCAAAACACCTGCAAAGGTTTCCTGAGCCTTCAAAATGGTCTCTCAGTTTGGTTCACTAGGCTACACAATCATGGGGAAGACTGCTGATCTGACAGTTGTCCAGAAGACAATCATTGACACCCTTCATAAGGAGGGTAAGCCACAAACATTCATTGCTAAAGAAGCTGGCTGTTCACAGAGTGCTGTATCCAAGCATGTTAACAGAAAGTTGAGTGGAAGGAAAACGTATGGAAGAAAAAGATGCACAACCAACCGAGATAACCACAGCCTTATGATGAACTTTTCCACGACATTCTAATTTATTGAGATGCACCTGTATATTTCTAGAGTTTGGTGCACAATTCAAGTACACTGGAAATAAAAAATGATACTATTTTTTTTAAGGTAAGTGGTTGCTTATTTTAGCTACATAAAAAAAATGTTGAAAGTTAGTCAACTAAATTTGTTTATTTAAATAAAGCTAAAATAAATTGATTGCAACCACTTATCTTAAAAAATTAGTAAATTCAATGAATATTTTTTTTTCAGTGTAGCCTACATTAAAGTTATTAAAATCAATCCAATGTATGCAGAGTTGAGCAGAGAGTACAAGTATTACAAGTAAATTATTATATAATCTCTCTATGCACACACTGTAAAGACATTGGTAGATGTAAACATGTTACAATGGTAGACATTGTAAACAGACTGTGGTGTCACAATTATGAATATCGGACTGGTGATATAAACTTATTATATTTTACATGCTCAAAAAGCAGAATAATTGCAACATATGTTTATAAAGCATGAAGCTTGTCGTGTCAGAATGGCAGTCTATCAGTCAAATCCAAAGCAACCCATTGCAAGGCTTTATACCATACTTTTACATATTCTTCCGTTACTTAAAAACTGTTGCTGTAATTATCTTAACCTGTTAACTGTTGGTTCCACTTTTTGAGCATAGACCTGAAAATGACATTTCCAACTTAACCTTTTGATGCACAACATGGGTCTAAAGTGACCCGACTGAGTTAATTTTTTCTATATCTTTGCAAGAAATTAATTTCATCATTCAGTATTCCAGGAATTCCTCAATGAACTTGTTTTTGACCATCACAAATCCTTATTTTCATTTTTCCTTTCTTACTTTTTTAATAAAAATCATTTTAGTATCACTACCCCTCTAATGCACAACATGGATCTGAAATGACCCGTATTCATTGCCTATGTTATTTCAATCATGGCTGAGTGTTTCATTGCTGAATCTTTGAAAGAAATGCATTTTATTATTTATTATTCCAGGTATTCATTAAATATCTTGTTTTTGATTTCCACTAATCATTTTGCTTATTTTTCAATTTTTTACTTTATAAACAAACACAGTTTTTGTATGTCTACATCAATCTGACACACATGGGTCAAAAATGACCCATATAGAAACCTTTGATATTTGCAAATTTTTTGCAAGTAGGAACGTATTTACTGCAGAAACATATCTACTGTCACAACTCAACATGGCTGCTTATATTTGATTTAAGTCTTATTTTATAATTTATTACCACAGAAAATATTTAATATTTTGAAAGATAACTAGACATAATATTTTAATGTTAGGCTAAGGTTACATTGACCTTGAAATCCATTAGCCTACTACAGTCATGACCAAAAGTTTTGGCAGTGACATAAATTTTGTGTTTTGCAAAGTTTGCTGCTTAAGCTGTTGTGGTGTTCATTCACATTGTCAACGTCTCGACGCATTTCTTTTCTAACTCAGTGCAATGTTGTGTCAATGAAAAATTCAAATAATTAATTTGTGTTAACACATATCGAAACATAAAAAAATAAAGTTATTTGTGTGAAAGCATATTGCTGGTTATTGCCATATACAGTAATTCACTTAAGTTAATGGTGTTTGCGTTCAGTTTCATTCGCGGATCCTTTATGTCAGATACGACTGACTGACCAATATTGACTAGCCTTGGATAAGAAAGTTGACTAACTTGGATAAGATTCCTAAAGGTTTCACATCTACAGCACACATTACAGACATTGATGCACACACGGGGATATGTTCTACATGTCTAAAGAATGAATAAACCAGTCTTACAAACTCCTTTGCTTTTGCAACTTTAAATATAATATGCATGCACTATAAACTATTGTAAAATGTATTTACATCACTCAACAGAAAGGTTTTTGCAGGTTTTAATAAAATGTAAATTAATAACAGTCATAATAAACCAGCATATTTCCAGTACGCGCCTCAGGCTTGCACAGTATCGTCAACTTACTCATCAGAATCTTCTGTAATCCTCGGCAAACTACGCCACGGCTGATTCGGTTTTTGTTGAGTCCTCGGTAATCCTCGGCAAACTTCGACAGTTGGTTGAACCGGCTCAAGTATGGCGTTCCCTTTCATGGGAACTTCGAACTGCGTCCTCTAGGGATCGCTATGGGGAACGTTTCGTCGTGACCCGTGTCTGAAGCATACATTGAAAAAACACCAACTCGTTGGCCGGCGACAGCCATGACGTCACTACCGGGGCGACTATAGAATAAATGGCGCCGGGAGCTACACATCATTCTCTTCTTCGTCTTCATTGACTGTTTTGTTTGAAGCGTGCATTTCTGAAGAAAATGGTAAGAGCGATCTCTATTTATCTCATTATG